GAACGCGCCCACGTCACTGCGGAGGTCCGCCCTCACGAGCGCCCGGACGAGGAGCAGCGGAGAAACAACCAGGCCCGAGCCGCCGAGGAAGCTCGCCAGCGCGAACGCCTGGAACAGGAACGCCACGAGCGGGCCGTGGCCGCCGCCCGTCGCGTCGCCGCCCAACAGGAAATATACTGGAGCATGCGGCGCGACCTGGCCAGGCAGGGCACCAAATCTAAGGCTGGCCAACCGGCTCGCACAGCCACGCCTCCGCCACGACAAGTCGCACCGGCTCGGCGTGAAGACGAAGGAGGAGAACCTTGGTGGGAGGTGGAATACCAGGCTTCCCTCCGAGAAACCGAGCCGAAGCGACGAGGCGCCGTATTCGACGGACGACACATGCCGCGTGACGCTCGGGTGGAGCCACCGAAAGGCGGCTGCTTCATCTGCTGGAGCACGGCTCATGGATGGCGAGCATGCCAGCAAACACCCGAGCACAGCTACTGCTGGAACTGCGGCCGCCGAGACGTCAACACGCCGGCTGACTGTCCCCGGTGCCGAGAGGGGTACCAGCGTTGGATGCGGGGCCCACCCGGTCGGGACGGACCCCCTGCTCGGACCTCACGCGCTCGTGAGGTGCCTGGACGACGATCGCCCACGAGATTTGTGGCGTCGCGCGCCACCACACCACCGAACAGCACCGCCACGATCACGGAGATCGTGAAAGTTTCAGCCACCTCGTCCGCTGGGCCCTCACGGACCCCGGCTTCGGTCCGGCCATCGTCACCACCGCGGCAGGCCCTGCGCGCCATCGAACCCCCATCTCACGTCGAGGAAAGGGCCCTCGGGGCACAGGCCGTCGCCGTGCGGCCGAACGCCGCGATGCCTCCCGCCGTACAAGTCCTCGCACCGCCCGGACCAGGTGCCATGGAGTGGGTCGCCGCACTCAACCAGCTGGCCGCAAATCTAGGCGATGTGAGTCGGGAGGTCAGAGAGGAAGTCATGCGGGCAGCCGTAAGGCCTCCGAGACGTCCCAACGCAGGTAAGTCAGAGGGGCCCCCCTTCAAAAGACGTGCGGCCGCGACCCCGTCCGATGGAGAGCTCGAACAGGTGGATAATCAGGTATGTTTTTTGTCGCAGGAGAAGAGTAAAAAGAATAAGCTAGGCGACCCCGCTGCACCGGTGAGTCACCCTCCTAGCTTCTCAAGCTCAATGGCGGCGCCGTAAGCGGCGAAGGTAAGCAATTGCACTGAGCTTTACCTCATGCTTGCGCGACAACTCCTTTCCTTGGCGCGACCGTGGTAGGTCGCGGGTAAGGGAGGGGGTGTGACGTTGTGCCACTGCAATTGTCGTCGCGTCGGCTGCGAGGGTTGAATGATTGATAAGGTCGGCGACGCCAATAATAATTGCGTGGTATTTTTGCAGGTATACGCGCGTACAAGGAGCGAAAGTAGAGCCCGACTCGCGACCGCAGAGGCGCGTGAACGTAAACATCGCTGTGTTTACGTTCGTCTGGCCCGCGCAGCGAAGTCGGAGCTGCTACCGACACGACGGACAGAAGGCGACACGAAGACCCTCGCGGCCCGTGCGTGCCAATTAGCAGACGATCGCGACACTTGTATTCCGACCGTTGAGCCGAGCAGAGCCGAGTATTTTTGCGAGCCTTTTTGTATTGTTTATCGAGTAGTTTTGTGTGGAGAATTGGAATAGGGCGTGTGTGAGGAGTAGTGCAGTGTGCTGTTGAGTTGTGAGTGCAGGTTGGTTTTGGTGTGTGTTGGCGAAAGAGAGGAGTTGGTGGCCACGTGCTCGAGCGTGTGTGCTGGCGAGACGTGCGGCGAACCAAGAGTCGACAACCACAAGACGTAATTCAACCTTCCGGCCCGTCCCTGCTTACGTCTGTGGCCAACAGACGACCGTGAGGAAGACAGCAGCATCTCCTAGGACCCCGGCGACGCGGAGTCCACCCGTGTGGTCGCGAGCCACGAGAGCGAGGAATATCGTGAGTAGGTTTTCGGTATTACCGCGCTCGCGCGACCTTCCAAACGGCAACGCAGCTCGCGTCCGCGACCAGGTGTGATTGAGTGCGCGACAGCTTCGGCTGTGTGTGAATGAGTATTAGAAAAATTTCAATAAAAGAGCGTTTGTTTTAATTGAAATTCACCGTTGTATTATTTACAAGACCCGTCGTTTTCCCTTCCTCTCTCTCTCGCGAACTTTCTCGTTTACAGGTGTTTTTATAGGTGCAGTGTTGCAGTCACCGGAGGCCCCGCTCCATACCTGTCGACGTCCCCTCCTGGAGGAGAGTCGTACTCACGACCTGAGGTAGTATTTCGCGTTGTTCCCGACCCTTATCGAGCTAGCCGGACCCTAGCCGACGACAAGCTGTCGCTTGTCTGGCGCGTCGGTTACCGACAAAGTCGGCCAGGCAGCGAGAACGCCCTGTGTACGGTGGACACGGGGAGTCGATCGTCACACAGTAGACACGTACGTAAAGAAGGGCAGCAGCGAGCTAACCAGCCGTTAGAGCGAGACCACTAGAACAGAGCGCAGCAGCAGACACGTACGTGGAGATGGACAGCAGCGAGCCCACCAGCTGTTAGTGACAAAGACCGCTAGTAGAGAGTGCCGCAGCAGCAGTCACGTACGTGAAGAACAGCAGCAGCGATCTAACCAGTGGTTGGAGAGAGAGACCACAAGAAGAGAGCGCAGCAGCAGCACATGCGCACGTGAAGATAGGCAGCAGCGAGCTAACCAGCCGTTAGAGCGAGACTACTAGACAAGAGCGCAGCAGCAGACACGTACGTGGAGATGGACAGCAGCGAGCCCCCAAGCTGTAAGTGAGAAAGACCGCTAGTAGAGAGCGCCGCAGCAGCAGTCACGTACGTGGAGAACAGCAGCAGCGATCTAAGCAGTAGTTAAAGAGAGAGACCACAAGAAGACAGCGCAGCAGCAGCACACGCGCACGTGAAGATGGGCAGCAGCGAGCTAACCAGCCGTTAGAGCGAGACCACTAGAAAAGATCGCAGCAGCAGACACGTACGTGGAGATGGACAGCAGCGATCGAACCAGCGGATGGAGAGAGGGACCACTAGAAGAAAGCGCAGGATGAATTTCGGACAAAAGAATCAAACTAAGGGTTATTTTGGATGGAACAAACCACTCTTGGGTTATTTTAGGTATTCAAGTATGCACTTGTAAGTTATTATACGACATGAATTCTTTTATGCTAGTTTTCCATGCATTTTCCAAAGCACGCATTTATCAAAAGTTTGAAACATTCCTTACTATACGGGACTATTGGGTTAATTTGGAGTTGAAGTACGTACTCTAGTTGTCATCATTCTGGCATTATTATAAACAAGTCAATACGGATCGCTTTTTCTCTTTGACTCATGTATATCACTGCAAACCTCCGTCGCTGCGCACCAATATTTCCAAGGCTGAAACAACTTCTGATGGCCGACCCAACATGGAAATTATTAAAACCCTTGGATTATTTCAAACGCAGGTATCAGTTCCAGGATAAATTTTGGACAAAAGAATCAAACTAAGGGTTATTTTGGATGGAACAAACCACTCTTGGGTTCTTTTAGGTATTTAAGTATGCACTTGTGAGTTATTATACGACATGAATTCTTTTATGCTAGTTTTCCATGCATTTTCCAAAGCACGCATTTATCAAAAGTTTGAAACAATCCTAACTATACGGGACTATTGGGTTAATTTGGAGTTGAAGTACGTACTCATGTTGCTCTTTGGCAACTAGAGTAAACTCAAAATATTAGAACACAAAAACTCATACAGACATTTGTTGGTAATTCAATGTAGCCCACGCGTAGAACGCCGCTGATCTACAACTCAAAATATATAAATTTCAAGTGAAAGTATGCTCTTTATTAAGCTACGTCACGCTGTAGCGTCTGGTAGTAAACGTGGCCTATCTTGCAGTACAGCTGTTGTACATGGGATCTCCACATGAGTCAGTATACATTGCGTCTTCGAAGTGTGAGCATCTGAGCGAGAATCGCCTCTACCAGAACCGATCAACCAACTACAAAAAAGAATAAATATTTCATATCATAAGCCATAGTGTGTGTATTTCAGTGTGTCCTAATCTAATTTATCAAAAAGAGATAGACCTAAAAGTGAAGCCAATCTATTCGGCCTCTGATTGGTCGACTGACTTTTGACTCGAGTCGAAACGTTATAAAGTGACATCTACGGTCATAATAGCAACTTTTTCGAAACTGACTGCAAGATGTACGCGCACGAAGCGCGCCTGAAAGTTGCTAACCTCAAAAAACAAATAAAAAAATTGATACGCGCGGAGCGCGTCTTAAACGCCTAGTAAAAATAAAAGGTACGAGCCAAAAGGCCGAGAAAACTGTTTGCTTTTACACGTCGCGAGGATGTCGACGAACGAGTATGGGCAAGAGTTTCAAATAAATAAACACTCACAAGATTTAACAAAAAATACTTTGGGTTTATTATATAACAAAATGAAATGGTGGTGTAGTAGTTAAACAAGTTCGGAGCGGAGGCCAGACTCTCGCGCTTCCGTGCTCTATATCAAACTGAGCCTCGCGAGCCGGGCCGTGAGCGTTGCCCCCTCCTTGCGGACCCCCCACGTGAGCGACTCGCTAGCCCACTTAGATGCTGACATCTAACATACCGCCAGCCCTGTCAGAGACGAAGTTACTGGCAATACATAAAAACAAAAATAATGAACTTATATAAAGTGCTAAGCATAGCACTAAAACAAAATAAACTTTGGTTTTACAATTTTAAATTATAACATCGTTTCACATGTCAAAAAAATAATAATGTTAAGTACAGCAATCATTATGCAATGATATAAGAAAAAATAAATTATTTGTCGACTTAAGCGTAATAAAAATGAACCGCCAGCCGTTTGAGACTGCACTACTATGCAAATTACATGTGATTAACTTCATAATTAATTATAAACGGAATACAAACTAATCATTTTTAATTTTAGGCGCACGTAACAATTTAAATCACTCGGTCGCAATCGGCAATAGGCACAATTTATGAATTGGTCGTTTTATTACATTGTTTGCCGTTTTTATAATTGCTACGCGCACTAAACCGTCATCGCCTTGATATGTACGTTGGATGATCCCCATGGGCCAATGAGTAGGAGGTGAATTATCTTCGGAGATGAGGACCATCGAACCGACGTGTAGATCATCGTGTTGTACTCGCCATTTGTTGCGTTGTTGCAGCGTGTGAAGGTACTCGAAGCGCCAACGATGCCAAAATTGATCGCGCATTTGCGTCAGTAAATTCCATCGTGCAGCAGGTGTAAGTTTGACCTTTTCGAGGCCCGGCTCAGGAACAGCAAGTAGAGGACCGCCGATCAAGATGTGACCAGGGGTAATTGGCGTTGGATCCGTGGCAGAACTACTCAATTGGTAGAGTGGCCTTGAATTTAGGCAAGCTTCTATCTGACAGAGCACAGTGCTGAGCTCCTCAAAAGTCAAAGTTGAGTCCTTGATCACGCGCCGTAGATGGTGTTTCACCGAGCGAACTCCTGCCTCCCATATCCCGCCGAAATGGGGTGCTCGAGGCGGTATGAACGTCCAGTCCGTTCCGTGGTTGGCTAAACGAGCAGCACTTTTTTGATAGAATTCTGAAGCTTGTCGAAACATCGATTTTAATTCCTTATCGGCTCCTCTGAAGGTCGTTCCATTGTCGGATATCAAGGTATGGCATATGCCTCGTCGAGACACAAAACGTTTATAAGCTGCCACAAATGCCACTGCTGTCAAATCCGAAACTGCTTCCAGATGAATGGCTTTCGAGGACATGCAGACGAATAAGCATATATATCCTTTATACGATGAATGACCGCGTCCTTTTGAAGCTCGGATAGCAATAGGGCCGGCATAATCCACGCCTGCAGCAAGAAACGGTCTCACTGGGGTCAACCTTATTGGAGGAAGGTCACCCATAATTTGGCCAAGTTTTGTCCCAGCGTAGCGAGTACAAATGATGCAATTATGAATTTCTCGATGGACGAGCGTTTTACAGCGCAAAATCCAAAATCGTGCCGCTACGAAGTTGCGTGTTGTTTGCGGCCCTGCATGCAAAGTTCGATGATGTGCGTCTCGGACGAGCAAAGTAGACAAGTGGCTTTCATATGGCAGAATGATGGGATGCTTTTCATCGTAGGATAATGACGGAGCATTCACCAATCTCCCACCGACGCGTAATAATCCCTTCTTGTCCACCATAGGTTTTAATGAACGTAGCGGTGATTTCTTAGGCAGTTGTAACTTGCGTTTTACATGGTCAAACTCCACTTGCAGGTAGGTCCGTTGAACTTTCTTGATGAGCGTTTCTGTCGCGTATCGAAGCTCCTCTGCAGTTAAAAAACTAGTACGCTTCATTTTCTTATTCTTGCAATTATGAATGAAGCGCTGAATCCAGGCTGTAACTCGTGTTAAACGCGTATATGAAGAGTATCTTTCAATTAGATCGTCTGAATTGCCAAGTCGAGCAGTGGCACATACTGTTTTTCTTTTCATCTCGGAGAAAGCTTCTTCAGAGCTTGCAGCTGCACTATTGAAAGTTGGCAAGGCTACCTCATGCAACCACGAGGGGCCTCTCCACCATAATTCCGCTTCTCTGAGTTGATTGGTTGAGATCCCTCGTGTGGCCAAATCAGCCGGATTTTGACTCGATTTCACGTACCTCCAATGTTTCGGTGACAAAATTTTTTGAATTTGCGCGACTCGATTTGCGACAAACGGGCTCCAGCGAGAGGCATGAGAGTACAGCCAAGTGAGAGTAACCTGCGAGTCGCACCAAGCGTACGTGGCATCGATTGGAGTGTTGAGTTCGCTCTGCAAGCTTGCTACTAATTTGGCCAGTAGTGCCGCTCCGCAAAGCTCCAATCGTGGTATGCCTAGCGTCTTCACAGGAGCGACCTTTGTCTTGGCTACTAGTAAGTGCACAGTTACTGTATTATCGGGCATGATTACCTTGGCATATACAGCAGCAGCATACGCTCGTTCTGAGGCGTCGCAAAATGCGTGAAGCTCAAGTCTTCCTCCGGAGCTTTGGCCAATCCATCTTGGTACTCGAATTGACTCCAAACCAGGCAACATGGCGCGAAAGCTCAGCCAAGCTTCCTCGAGTTTTGGGGGAAAACGTTGATCCCAATCGAGTCCTTGTATCCAGGTATCCTGTATCATAATCTTGGCAGTTACAATGACCGGCGCAAACCAACCCATTGGATCGAACAACTTTGCGATCTCAGAGAGTACTGTGCGTTTCGTGATAGTTGAATTTTGATCGGCGAGAGTCACCTTTAATGCAAATGAGTCTTCATGCGGATACCAACGTAGTCCTAGAGTTGAAATTGAGTCATTGATCTTCAACGGCTTTTCCTCTTCTGACAGAGTAGGACATACTTTAGAATTATTCGAAGCCCACTTGCTTAATTCGAACCCGCCAGCGGCGAGCATCTTCGTCAGCGATTCTCTCTTTGCAATAGCTTCGTTTTCGGTATCGGCACCTCCGTAGAAGTCGTCCATGTATGATGATCGGAGAGCTATCTCGGCCCCCTCAGGAAATCGACCGATTTCTTCCTTTGCCAGCTGCTGAATAACTCGCAAGGCTAAATAAGGAGCTGGTGCTGTTCCATACGTGACGGTGGTCAACTCGTAAGAACGGAGTTTCTCGTCGGGGGAATCTCGCCAAAAGATGCGCTGCCAAGTATAATCAGCTGGATTGATTTTAATCTGGCGAAACATTTTGATAATGTCCGCAGTAAATGCCACTCGAAATTGCCGCCAGGAAGTCAAGATCATCCATAAGTCCTTTTGTAACTTTGGACCCGTCATCAAGCAATCGTTCAACGAATTTCCGTTCTTAACTTTAAACGAGGCGTTAAATACGACGCGTATCTTTGGCGTAGAGTCGACATTCTTGAATATACAATGATGAGGTATATAATTTCCTTCGGTGTCGGAACGAGAAGGACGCATGTGTTGCAGATTTAAATATTCTTGCATAAAATCGTCATACATTCCTTTAATTTTAGGCGACTTCAGAGTTCTGGCTTCGTTGACGTGGTACAACTTCATGACCATTGAACGGTTCTCTGACAGACTCTGCTTTAGCTGATCACTTTTGAAAGGTAGCGATACAACGAATCGGCCTGTTGCATCTCGATAATGCGTCTCCTTGAAGTGCTGTTCGCATTTGCTGTCCTCCTCTGAGAGCACTGGCGAACTTAACTGATGCTCGATCTCCCAAAAGGTCTGCAATTCGCACGACGCGCACGTGTGACGAGTATCTTCTTGCTGAGGCAATGTTGAGCAGAATACTTGGTGATTTACTGGCTTGATGGTCGATACATCGTCGGTGTTTGTCTTCCAAAAGCTGTCCAGGACAAAATTCGGACAGGTGTGCAAGCCTTTCACTTGAATTTTCTGCGCTGATGCAGTTGACGCCGATTGACTAGTTTTGCCCATTTAAACCCAGCCGAACCATGAGAGTTTGGCAACTGGTTCATCTATTGATCCTGATCGAGTTTGATCCAGCAGCAAAAAGCCTGTAACATCTGCACCAAACATAACATCAATCGGGCCTGGCTTACCATAGTCAGGATCAGCTAAATTTAGTCCAGCTAGATGGCTCCAAGTAGATGCGGGCTTGACAGGTGCTGAAGGAATATCAGAAGTTATTCTGTCAAGTACCAGTGCTGTGAAGTTGAGATTCCTGCTTGAGTCCTCTATAGTTGACACTTGCAGCTCTGATTGTATATGCGCCTGTCCCACTGAGATGGCTCGTATCCCAGAGACTGAAGCATTCACTCTTGACCGCCGCAACTGCAATTTCTTTGCCACCTTTTCTGTGATGAAGGACGACTCCGAAGCTGAATCAAGTAGAGCTCGCACCACTACACTGTATCCTTGAGGTGAGACAAGTCGTACTCGTGCAGTTGTAAGCAGAACACAGCTGCTTGACTTGACGGGTAAACACACTGCATTGTATGAGTGTAAAACATTTTGCATGTCCTCTGAATCTGAGGTACTGTCGGTTTTTTCATTATTTTTTTTTATTAATATAGAACAGTTACTTGTACTTTTGCACTGACACCGAGCAAAGTATTCCGAATCGGACGATCCGGCTCGAAGGACCAAATGTTTGCTTTTACACGTCGCGAGGATGTCGACGAACGAGTATGGGCAAGAGTTTCAAATAAATAAACACTCACAAGATTTAACAAAAAATACTTTGGGTTTATTATATAACAAAATGAAATGGTGGTGTAGTAGTTAAACAAGTTCGGAGCGGAGGCCAGACTCTCGCGCTTCCGTGCTCTATATCAAACTGAGCCTCGCGAGCCGGGCCGTGAGCGTTGCCCCCTCCTTGCGGACCCCCCACGTGAGCGACTCGCTAGCCCACTTAGATGCTGACATCTAACAAAAACAAAAACTCATACAGACATTTGTTGGTAATTCAATGTAGCCCACGCGTAGAACGCAGCTGATCTACAACTCAAAATATATAAATTTCAAGTGAAAGTATGCTCTCTATATAGCTACGTCACGCTGTAGCGTCTGCTAGTAAACGTGGCCTATCTCGCTGTAAAGCTGTTGTACACGGGATCTCCATATGAGTCAGTATGAATTGCGTCTTCGAAGTGTGAGCATCTGAGCGAGAATCGCCTCTACCAGAACCGATCAACCAACTACAAAAAAGAATAAATATTTCATATCATAAGCCATAGTGTGTGTATTTCAGTGTGTCCTAATCTAACTTATAAAAAAGAGATGGACCGAAAAGTGAAGCCAATCTATTCGGCCTCTGATTGGTCGACTGACTTTTGACTCCAGTCGAAACGTAATAAAGTGAAATCCACGGGCATAATAGCAACTTTTTCGAAACTGATTGAAAGATGTACGCGCACAAAGCGCGCCTGAAAGTAACTAACCTCAAAACACAAATAAAAAAATTGATACGCACGGAGCGCGTCTTAAACGCCTAGTAAAAATAAAAGGTACGAGCCAAAAGGCCGAGAAAACAAAAACTCATTCAGACATTTGTTGGTAATTCAATGTAGCCCACGCGTAGAACGAAGCTGATCTACAACTCAAAATATATAAATTTCAAGTGAAAGTATGCTCTTTATATATCTACGTCACGCTGTAGCGTCTGCTAGTAAACGTGGCCTATCTCGCAGTACAGCTGTTGTACACGGGATCTCCATATGAGTCAGTATACATTGCGTCTTCGAAGTGTGAACATCTGAGCGAGAATCGCCTCTACCAGAACCGATCAACCAACTACAAAAAAGAATAAATATTTCATATCATAAGCCATAGTGTGTGTATTTCAGTGTGTCCTAATCTAACTTATCAAAAAGAGATAGACCTAAAAGTGAAGTCAATCTATTTGGCCTCTGATTGATCGACTGACTTTTGACTCGAGTCGAAACGTAATAAAGTGACATCTGCGGTCATAATAGCAACTTTTTCGAAACTGACTGAAAGATGTACGCGCACGAAGCGCGCCTGAAAGTTGCTAACCTCAAAACACAAATAAAAAAATTGATACGCGCGGAGCGCGTCTTAAACGCCTAGTAAAAATAAAAGGTACGAGCCAAAAGGCCGAGAAAACAAAAACTCATACAGACATTTCTTGGTAATTCAATGTAGCCCACGCGTAGAACGCAGCTGATCTACAACTCAAAATATATAAATTTCAAGTGAAAGTATGCTCTCTATATAGCTACGTCACGCTGTAGCGTCTGGTAGTAAACGTGGCCTATCTCGCAGTACAGCTGTTGTACATGGGATCTCCACATGAGTCAGTATACATTGCGTCTTCGAAGTGTGAGCATCTGAGCGAGAATCGCCTCTACTAAAACCGATCAACCAACTACAAAAAAGAATAAATATTTCATATCATAAGCCATAGTGTGTGTATTTCAGTGTGTCCTAATCTAACTCATAAAAAAGAACAAGTTATCCTTTCAGAATTGGCCGAAGCGTTGGAACAGCTAGAATTAAAATCGGATGGATCCATGCTACAAAAGAAAGCAAGGCTATACCAATGGCTAAGCGGCGATTACTCGGCGAATGATTTCGTCGAGTCAAATTTTGGTGAGATCGAACGAGTTGAGAATCACGTAATCCTCAGAGTGGCGTTTATAAATACAACGTGCTGGGAAAAGTCGGGCGAAACGATAATAGATCATAACGTCGACAACGACCAACCACACCCAATGATCGGCCTGGATACGTCAGAAAAAGTACGCAGAAACTTGGAAAAGTCGTTAAACCAAGGCGCGACAAACGCAAATACAATGCGCCAGACAAGCATACCATCCAGACTGGTAGGAAATAGAAGCCAGCCCGGAACAAGGATAGCGAACAGCGTTACACGACACAGCGAACCAGCACAGCAAAACACCGAATCACCAGAAGATACAAGCATGTCAGCACAAGTAGAAGAACTCAAGAGACAAATGGAAGAAATGAGGTCACAAAATTTTAATGGAAAAGTCGCGTCGAGTACAAGACTAGATCCGCGAACCTCATCATTCCAAATAGGCAGTAATTTACAGGAAATACCAACAATGATCGAGCAGCCGATAGATCAGAGAAGAGTGAACTTCCAAGACACGATCGGCTACGGGCCAGTCGCTGCCGGCGACTGGCGAAAAACGCCAACGGAGGACAACAACACAAGATTTAAACAAAATTTTGAAGGATCGTCAGACGCATACCTGTCAAGGCCATCGACGAGCAGATTTACGCACGAAGGCTCAATCAGATGTAACAGCGATATCGGAGAGACCGTGAGAAAATGGAGAATTCAATTTGAAGGATTCGGTCAGATGAGCGTGGAAAGTTACATAGAAAGGATCGAGGAGTGCGCATTTCTAGCCGGACTGGGCGACGCAGACCTCCTACCAGCATTGTCAGAAACGCTCTCAGGCACGGCAGCCCAATGGTTCCGCAATAACCGCCACAAATTCCAAAACTGGGAGGGATTTTGTGGAATGGCCAGGAAAACCTTCGGGATGGACCAATATACGTACCAGCAGCTACTCGAACAAATCAGAAGAAGAACACAGGGCCGCAACGAAAAAGTAGCACAATATATAATTGGCCTACAAAGTACGCTAAATAAATTGAGGCCACAGTTGGCCATACAAACACAGCTCGACTACTTGCATGGCGGGATGCTACCAGAGCTACAGAAGATGGTACGATGAAAGTCTTTGCGCTCCGTCGACGACCTTTTTGACGAAGCAGTGGAAGCAGAAAACACAATCATAAGAGCCGAGCAATATCGCGCACCGGCACAAGACGAGACGGTATGGCCAGAACTCAGATATCAAGCTGACAAGAATGAGTCGAGCTACAAATTAGTAGCAATGCCAGATCACAAGGATGAAATAACGGCACTGATAAAATCCCAAATCGAAGTCACGCAATTACTAGCCAATTCTATAAAAGAAAGCGAAAAGAGGCAAGCCGAAGCATTGCAGCAAATTTCGAAATCAATTACAGAACTTCAAAAGCAAAAAGTCAGCCCGGTAGGCAAGCCTGACGGGCAGAGAAACGAGTTTCAGAAAAACTCGCAGTCGTCAAGGAACGCAGATCATAACCCAACGAAACAGTCTTCGTCAACGAACAGCAAATCGAAGAAGACAAAAGAAATATACTGCTACGGGTGCGGAGCCCAAAACGTATACCGGAAAAATTGCCCGAAGTGTTCGGGAAACGCCGAAAGCAGGGAATAGTCGAGACCGATATTACCCTGGACGCTTTTCGGGTCTCAACGACAGGATATGTATCGCCCGACGAGAAAAACACAACCCAAAGCTCGTCGGGAAAAGAACCTGTTCAAGAACAATATGAAGGGCACTGGTGGATAAAAACACAAGTTAGCAAACACGAAATACGCGCTTTTTATGACACCGAAGCGTCGCGCACGACGATGAACAGCATCGCCGCGCAATTCGCACGACAGTGCGAACGTAAAATTACGCCAATACGAGGGCGAATGACGCATTGCGCAAATGGATCAATGTCGATCGTGACAGCGCATGTAGAACTACCTTTCACGATCGGAGGCATAACTCGAGACATACGAGTAGATTTGATGCCAGACTTGTGGACGGATTGCGTGGTGGGATCAAATTTCATCAAAACATTTCAAGCGAGACACAATCCGATAACCAATCAATGCGTAATTGGCCCAAACGATTTACCGGTACCGATAGAGTTCGTACCGGTAGGCTCGGCAACTTCGCCGAAAATATCAGCGGCAGGACTCGGTGAGATGACTCATCGAGAACGGGAGGAACTCGAAAAGTTACTAGACGAGATACTACTGCCAAAAACGGGTCCACTGTCACACACGAGCTTAATTAAGCACAGCATACATATCAAGGAGGGCACGAAGCCAATCAAGCAAAGGTATTACCCAGTATCAGAAAAGCTCAAAGAGGAAC